TCTCAGTCCACTTTTGTTTCTCGTAGAAAGATATTCATAATTCTACAGATCTGTCATTGCAAATAGTCAATAGTTTCCAGAGATGAGTGAAACTTATCCACAGATAGTGTAATTCACAGTACTTATCTATGTGGGATTGATGTATTTTATTCTAGTCCATTTTCACGAACTGTAAAATAATATGCGAGTCAATCTAGTAAACTCAGCTCTCAACTTTTCTTTGGATTCTCCAAGAGACTTAATCGCAGCTTGGTTGGCAGATGTAACTTTTGAAGAGCATCACTTTTCCTGCTCCAGCCTTTGACCCAGTTTCTACCAAAAGTTGGCACCAACAGCTGTCATATTGCACACACTGCAGAAGCTTTGCGCTTGCTTTAGATCTGTCTCAGCAACTTTCAATCAGATTATTTAATTCACTCTGGAAAGGGCAGAAGTAGAGAAACACATTTGCAGGGACACCATCAGGTTCATTCCCTTCCCCACCTATTTCCTAGATTCATCCATTTCCTTTCAGGCCAGGGAGAAAGCATACATGCCGGTGGTGTAGTCTTGAGGCTCACAAAGACCTTGAGAGTCCATTAAAAACTGTCAGCTCTGAAGGACCCCAGAAGCCATGGAAGTTTCGAATGGGATACGATTCCATGAAGAATATCGTGTTTATTGCATTTCTAGTCTCCTTGGGTTTCCTTTATGATCCGAAAAGGCAGACCCTTAACATTTGAGAGTTCCAGGGCAAGAGAACAAATAGAGGTCCACATTTTAAATGTCAGCATAAATAGATGTAAATAAAATATACTCTGTTCTCCTACTGCAAAAATGGTGCATCAATAATGAGAAATTAAGATGCATATTTAAAGTTACAGTTTTATGTTACTAATATTTGGCAAAATATAAGGCATTTGAATTTATTATTATTTTATACTTTAGACATTTTTGTTATCATGCCACTGATATTTGCATGAATATCATATGCAAGTATATAATTTATAAGTTATAACTTGATTTATTGCATAGATTGTTCTTATTCTCATTAGAAAGAGATTACTTATTATGCTGCATTAATTAAGATTTTAGTAACTTGGTGTAGTGACACATACCTGTAATCCCAGCATTTGGGAGGCAGAGGTGGGTTTAAGGCCAGCCTGGGCTACTTAGTGAGACCCCATCTCAAACAAAAAAATGTTAAAAACCACAACAAGCCAGGAGTGGAGGTTCATGCCCAACTACGTGGGAGGCTGAGATCAGGAGGATCTTGGTTTGAGGCCAGCCTCTGTAAAAGAAAGTTCACAAGACTCCATCTAAACCAGTAAAAAGCCGAGCATAGTGGTGCCTTCCTGCCATCCCCGCTACTCAGGAAGTGTAAATGGAAGAGTATTTGTCTAGGCTGGCCTGAGCATAAACTCGAGTCCCTACTTGAGAAATAAGTAAAGCCAAAAGTGGTAAAATAAAGCTCAAGTGGTAGAATGCCTGCCTAGGAAGCCCAAAGCTGTGAGTTCAAACTCCATTACCACCAAAAAACCCCCAAAACCAACAACAAAACATTTTCACATAGTTTGTGCTCTATTAACAATAATGAGTTAAGAGATCAAAAATTGATTGTAATTATACAGAGTACAAAATTTGAATGTTTCAGCAATAATTAAAAGTAAACATAAAATTAATATCATTCTGCACATATATACATGTTTTTGGTACTGGAAGTATGGGGAGGAACAAAAGGAACTAAGGCAATTTTTCTTTTTTATGTGGCAGTGGTATTGCAAGCAGGATGGCCTCAAGCTTGCAAGGCAAGTGCTCTACCACTTGCCACAGCCCCACCCCAAAAGTGATTGTCTTTTAAAATATTCAAAATGATCTATTAAATTAAAAGTCTCTATTAATGTACATAAAACTATAATTAAAATTACCTAAACAAGTTAAAATTTTAAATTCACTTTTCAAAAATTTAATTAAGTCTTTAGATAATTTCCTAAAAATAAAATTCTTCACAATTTTATCATTGAATGTCCATTAGCTGTCAGTATAAAAATTAGGATCACATTTTATTTGTTATGTTTATATTGGCATTGTCCAGGAGAAATACAGAACAAACCACATATATGTTTTTATTTTTCCTATTAAAAGCTTGTCTATATTAGCAAAATTAAAAAGCAAACATTCCAAAAATTGAAATATATTTTAACATATTTTATTACAACATGATTAAAATATTTCAGCATGCAATCAATATAAATCAATAAAGCCTCTTACATTCTTTTTTCAAATCAGTGGCATATTTCAGATGTAACCCCAAAGACTGATACAGAGGTACCTTTGTTTTCCCTTAAAGTACAACGTTGCTGTCATGTCTGAATTTTGACGTTTGTCTTATATATTTTCTATTGTTAATACTATGTGCCATATTTAGAGAGATAGTTTATTTAAAGATTTTTAAAATCATTCAGAATACAGCGATAAGTAACAGCTATTAGTTAAGTCAGATTATGTCAGGTTCAATTTTATTTTCAATACTGTTTCTAGATTGTTAATAGATGTGTACAAGTGTTGGCAGACTAAATGGTCCAAATCTAGTTTCTAGCCTGTTTGTGTAAAGTTTTATTGGAACTTTGGCAACCCATTGGTTTACTTATCCATGGCTGCTTTTGCACCGTAACAGCAGAGTTGAGTAGTTTGCAATGGAGACATGGCCGGCCTGTAATGCCTAAGGATATTGTCCTTTACTTAAAACTCTGTGTTGACCTCTGAACCAGTGCCATGCCATGTGTCCCAAGCGTTTAACAGTTCTGTTCCCTACAGTCATGTTGATTGATAAAAACAGAAAAATGCTGACTACATAATGCCTTGAATTTGAGTGATCATGCTCAGTGGTCATTTTTAGAAGGAATGATGGGGTAGGCTACGGGAAGAGTCACACCTATGATCCATGGTCACACATTCCCACCATTTCTTTTCAGTGGCTTGCTGTGAAGTCAGTAAAGGCCTTGCATTCTAGCTCAGTGAATCAGATATGTTGGTCTTGTGACCCTCTTTACACTCTTAATTAGTGAGGACTCTAAAGAACTTTTGCTTATGTGGATTATATTTGTTTCTGTTCACCACATTAGAAAATAAAGCGAGGACATATGAAGTATTTGTTAATTTATTTAAAAAATAGCTGGCAAGTGTATTACATATGAATATAAATATGCTTCTGAAAAATAAGTGTTTTTTTAAGCAAAATAATTATAGTGAGAAAAGTGATATTGTCTTACAATTTTTGAAAATCTCTTTAATGGTTGGCTTAACAGATGATTGGATTGTTGTATCCACTTTTATACTTACTATATTTTATTATATGTCATATAATATCTGGAAAACTTTAGCATATACTTATGAGAAAATAAAGTGAGAAAGCACATGCTATCTTGGGATTACTATGAAAATTCTTTACACCTCTCAGACCCCTAAAATGGTCCTGTGGACATCTTTCTCATTTGCAGATTTTCCAGTGAGCTTAGTAACAGGTGTAGATAATAAATGGTAGATGGTGTGGATCCTGACAAGTTGATCATGGATCAAATTAAATAAGTACCTCTTTGTCTTTTGGAATTTGAAAACCAATAGGCTGGCAAAGGGACTCAAAAAGCAAAGAGTGTGAAAGGATGGCTATAGTTAAAGAGACAATAACAACTGTGTTGGTTAAGATCTGGAGAATTTTAAAAGGCTTATTCACTGTTAGTGTGAGTGTAGTCATTTTGGAGCACAGCCTGGCAAATCCTCAAAAGGGTAAGCATAGTGTTTATATACGACCTACTAATTCCACTCCTAGATTTTTAGTCAAGAGAATTGAAAACATATGTCCACACATATTTGTGCTTGCTCAGTAATGTTCTAAAACATTTTCTTAATTACACGCTCACCACTAATTCCAAGGTATGCACATGAAGAAGTCTTAAAGGAAAATTATTCAGAAAGAGATTTATTAGCCATCTTCAATACTTAAAAGGACTTCAGTGTAGAAAGAGATTTATCCATTGTGGTTCTTGAGAGCATAGTGAGAATGCATGGGTTGAAATTATAATAGAGAAATCAATTTAATTTCATACTTTTTAATAACTAAAATTGTCCTCAAATTGAAGTGAACCTCTGTGGACAGTAGAGTGCTTATTTACTGAAAGTTTCCATGCAAGACACGGCTCTTTATTTGGTCATGATGCCGTAAGGCGTCGTGGTAAACTTTTTGGAAAGGCTTAGGCTTTGCAGTCCAGGGGATTTCTGTTGTAACTTTTCAACTCTGCCATTACAGTATGAAAGCAGCTATAGACCATATGTAAACAAATAGGCATGGCCTTATTCCAATAAAACTTCAAAAAAGTAGGCAACAGGCCAGATTCAGCCTGCAAACTCTAATCTGCTGATGCCTGCTATGGAGGATGTTCACCCATCATTTGGGATTTGTAAGAGAGAAATTTTACAAGTTCTGTGTCTCTTATGAGAGAGAGGCACACAGATAGGCATTTGCATTTCAGTTTTTGCTAAGTAATTAGTATTTGGCTACATTTGAGGGGGGATGTAGTTTTATTGATTAAAGCAACTTTGTTGTTGCTGGGGATTGAACCCAGGTCCTCAATCATGTTAAGCATGTGTGCTACCACTGAGACAAACCCTTAGCCCCTGTTTTCCTAAGGTATAAAAACTTAATTCTGTTAAAATAGCCCTGATGGGTGGGGGGGATGGTAGGTCCTATTTTGTTATATAATTTTGTGGGCTTGTAATCAATTTGAGCAGAATGTGTTAGGTTTAAGAGTTTGGAGTAAAATGATTATACTAAAAAGTTATTGAAAGTCTAAAATAAATATGCCCACCTTTTTTAGTATGCTTTTGTTTTCATATTTCTATTAGTTTATTAGTTCTGAAAGGTTATGCTTATTAAATGTTACACAGATGACTAACTTAAAAATTCTTAAGTCATAACATCTTAAATTTTCTTTTAGCAGAAACACACCTCTGAGCAACCTGTCTTTTCAGTTTCAAAGCAGTCACCACCGACATCAGTACCTAAATGGATTGATCCCAAATCTATTTCTAAGACACCAAGTAGGAATACCTTGGATGATACATGAGCTGGTAATTGGCACCTAGCTCAGAACTCAGGGTGGGGAAATAGAAATAAGATGAGCTTTGGGACCAAATAGATCTGTGATTGAATCCTGTTGGGTTACTTTACAGACTTTGCAAGATACAATTTTTCTCATCATCAGTTTTATCTATAAAATGTGAAAGGGAAGGTGATTACAATAATAAATATTTTTAAGGATTGTTATGAATGTAGTCTGTCATATTGTAATCTATTAAAAACCTATAAATCATCTAAGAATGTGAGCCTTTATAACCATGTATTACCAAACGGATACCTCTCTACTTGAGAGAGATTTTAAAGGAAGGTTAACATTCTTAGAGTGAATAAATATTTTAGTATAGGAAGTGTTATTTGGAGCATGATAGTTTCTGGAAGAGGTTAGTTGTATGGTTTACATAGTTCTGAAGGTGTTCAAAGAAGACAGACTTGAGTGAATAAGAATGAGGGGGTGAGTGAGGAAATTAGTCAGCGCTGATTAAAAGAAAACACAAGGGGTGTTGCAAAAGCAAATGAATGACATGTCAACGAAAACAACTTAAAGGAATGTGATACACTGTGACCTTTAACTTGTGGCTATATTAATGGTTTAAGGTATAACTTAGTTCACGATGCCTTTGGCTTTTCATTTTCATAATGTAATTGATCTCTGTTAAAATTGACCTTCTTTTAAAACCTCTTTAATGCAATTTTGCTATATATCACCTCATTTTACTACATGTAGAAATTTTAAAGAATGGCTGTTAACTAAAATGATAACATAGATATTTCTTGTGATACTAGATTATTTATTGTTAATAAATATTTGTAGAGCTTTTGTGCCAAGTACTGTTCTAGATGTTGAAGCTATAATAGCAAATATGGTAAAGAAAGTATAAATGTGTGCTGAACAGATAATACGGGCTTAATGGCCTTACTCCTTTAATGATGTAACTGGCTTCTAGATATTTCTAGCAAGACCATTATAGAACATTATGGCTTAAAAGCACTCAAACTCAATGATAGTCATAAGCTGAATCTTGCCTTGGCTTCCTTCTTATAAAATTACTCTAACTTTCTATTTTAAATTCTGTCTTACTTATTTTGCTAGCACAGATTTCTTGTCTGGGGACAAAAAATTAATTTCGGAAAGAATTTCCCCAAATAAAATATCTGGTGAAACTAAAATAAACATCAACTATCAATTATGAAAACTAACTTAGGTTCTGTTTGATGTGGCACATGTTAAGTTAATAGCATTTAAAATACACACAAACTTGATCAGAATCTTGGGTTTTCTTTAATTTCAATATTTTGAATTAAGAAAAAAACTCTTTCCTAGTTTTAGGACTCCAGTTGTAAAGAATGACTTTCCACCTTCTTACCCGTCATCAACACCTTACCACCAGCTTGCCTGTTTCCAGCAGCAGCAAGTCCCTGTTACTCCTCTTCAAAACTTACAGGTTCGACAAGCTTTGTTTGTGGTGGGTTTGGTTTATATTTAGGTACACTCAGTTTTATAGATTTTCGTTTTATGGCAGCAAGTTGTCAGGGAGAGTCTTAACTTGTCCATTCTTATTCCCACTAGGCAAAACTTTTTTTGACATCCAAATAAGGGTGTGATTCTTAAATTTGAGAAGTTAGTTAATGAAGAAGACACTAACAAAACTGTTCTACTTAACAAGGTCTAAGGTTTTAGTTTGAGCACCTGAATAAAATTTCACATTACTTGAAGTTTCTTTCTAGTCTATTTAACTATCCACTTCAGCTGTTTGCAAACAGCTTCATTTCTTATGTTGATGAATCTGTAATGCGTTTGGAAAAGTAAATCTTCAAGATTATCAGCATAGCACGATGAGAATACTATTGGAGTATATTATAATTTTTATAAACTAATAGAAAAAGTTTTGCTTGTGAGGCTAATGCACTGCTGTCTAAAAAGAAAATTGATACTCTTGACACTAACAACTAAAACTAGTTTATAGTAACTGAGAGACAGCCGATACCGGTAGAAGACATGAGCCTTGTAGACAGACTCCCTGGGCTCACTACTGTGAGGTCAGTTGTGTGATCTTATGCAAGTTATTACACATTCTTGTACCCATACCTACTTACCGAGTGGTTGCGAAGATAACATTAGTTAATATGTGGGTAACTCTTAAAACAGAGCATGGCACTGTTTAGATAATAAATGTTGAGAGTTATGGTTATTTAAATGAAATAGGAAAAATAACTACCTACAAAAACCAGTTGATGAAAAAATTGACAGAAAGTATAACAGTAGTTACTGCGCTGAAGAGGAGGAATGAGGAGTTATCCTTCAGTGGGTATTTCAGTATTCAATGTTTCAGTATTCAGTGTTTCAATATTCAATGGCAAAAAGTTCTGAAGATGGTGGTGGTGTTTGCACAATGATGTGAATGTACTTACACCAATGAATTGTATTTAACAATTGTTAAAATGGTAAAGCTTTTATTTAACAAATGGATAAAAAATTAGCTGACAAGATAATTAACTATGGAGAGAGGTGATAGTGTTTTGAGGATTGGAGCAATATAATAAATTTTGAAGGAAAAAGAGAAAGATGATCAGGTTTGTCCATACATTCATTCAAAACACATTTAATGAGCTATTACTTGTATCAGACTCTGTTTGGGTCAAAATCTAGAAGGTGACTCAGAGGTGACTAGAAGAGGGTCTTGGGGGCCTTCTAAGAGGAGGCCAGTGTCAGAGGGAACTGAAAAGAGGCCCGGGTGTACCTCTAGGTTAGGAAAGGGAAGGAGTGAACCCTGTAGATTTTACCCTTAATAGGGATAGGAAGCTGAGGAAGAGGTTGAAGGAAGCAGGAGAGATAAAGTGTCTGATTTACACTTTGAAAACTCTGGCCTCAGTAAGAGAGTAGACTAAGGGGACTGTGAATGTCCTGGGCAGAAAACTACCCTCACATTGGTGTTGAATTAGAGTAAGTTGGAATTACTTTATTTTAAAACCCACCAGCAGCCCATGGGAAAGGACATCAGGCTGCTGCTCTCTTCCCTAAGAAGTGTTTGCAGTTTAAGGAAGAACATTTCATAACAATGTCTCTTACCCCAAAGACGAAAGAAATTAGAATTCTTCCAAAAGAAAGAAATCAAAAAAGAAAGAAAGAAAGGCTATCTTATTTAAACAGAAGGAGATTACATGAGAGATTCTACCATTTGGGATCTAAATCAGGACTTAGTTCAGTTGAGGTTTATTCAGACTGATTCAGTTTGACTAATTGGCTAATCAAAAATGCTTTGTTTCAACTTTTTTTTTCCCCTCCATACTGGCTTAGACTCAGGACCTTTCCCATACTAGTAAGCTCTTTGCCACTTGAGCCACATCAGGGCATGGCTCTTTGTTTCAAGTTTATCAGCTCAGCTTGAGTCTTCTCCGCATGCCATCTGTTCAGGCATTTATAAGTGCATGGAGAGATGATCCAGCATGAGGGAAGAAATGGAAGGGCAGCTTATGATAATAGTACATGTGTTGAAAGTTTGCTGGGGAAGATGCTGAAGTTCAGAGAAATCAAGCAACTTGCTGAGCATCACTCAGCACAAAGGAAATTTGTGTTGAAATTTGCATTTGTCTGACTCACAGCACCCAGTACAATAGTACATTGCTTCTTTTATAAAATAATGCTAAATGGGGAAAAAAGAACATAGATATAATTGTGTGTCTTTTTATGTAAGTAAGGAGGTGTAAGGAAAAAAAAGTGATAGCTTATTAGTGTGTTGTGCATTAAGTGGTATTTTCTTCTTAAGTTTTCTATTTGTGTTAAGAAATAGAACCAGTTAAAAGGAAGGAGAAGCTTGTGTATTAATTTAACACATTTTTAAAATGTTTTTGGTGATTTTCAGAAAGGGTCTTAGTATATAGCCCAGGCTGGCCTTGAACTCTCATTCTTTTTGCTTCAGCCTCCGAGGGCTGTGATTATAGACACAGACCACCATGCCTGGTAGTTTCTCTTATTAAAGTAAAGTATGCAATACAAGTTCCCCCTTTAAAATATTATAACATATCTCATTACTTAAGAATTAGGATAATTTCAAAACTGGCAGCGTTTTACTATACTCAATGCAAGCTAGTTTCTTAGGCATATTTTTTTTAACCTTTGTTTATATATATTATTTAGATTTCAGGATCCTCTTCAACAAATGAATGCATTTCAGTTAAAGGAAGAATTTATTTCATATTAAAGTAACTAGGCAGTGGAGGGTCAAGTAAGGTAGGTATTTTAAATACTTAAGAAATGAATAAAAATATTATAAACTTTCATTTGTCTTTTTAGCTATGGGGGCTCTTTTATCTTTTAGGGACCATGTTGCCCTTGAGCCAAAAAAGCTGCCTCATTTTCTGCCCTTCTCCCTTTTCGCTCTAAAAAGACCTACCTCTTGATAGCAGTCTTATGTCTTTCCCTCCAATGTCCTTTGCTTCCTAATTTCTTCATCTTAGTTAACGTTGGCTGTGGTGGCAAAATGACCACTATGTATCATCACAGAAGACTCTAAAAATGAATCAGAATATGATGTGAATTACTTATATGCTTATTATTCATGTAGTTTATTCAGTAAAGGCTTTTTACTAATGGATTTCTTTTTTTGTTTTGAGTTTTTATCTAAAAAACATTGTAGTAATCTAAATTCATCGGAGTTCTATTTTTTTGTTGTTGTCATTCTGTGGATTGAACAGAGAACCCTGCACTGCTAGGCAAACTGTCTACCACTGAGCTAAATATTCCTGGCCCCTGAGTTTTTAATTTTGTGAATTAATTCTTTATGGCTGGGTAGCATCTTGAGCTAGTGCTCAATACATGCCATAATTAATTCTTGCTCTGTTAAATCTACAGAGTTTTGCCATTAACATTCACCATACTATACTATAGTATACTATAACGAAGAGCACCAAAAACTTCCATATTCTTGCTAAATTTAGTTCTTAGCTTTGAATTTTAGGTCACTTAGTATTTGGAACAGTTGATTTCTTTTTTCATTTTGCTTTCCTGTTTTCCTCTGTTTTCATTTTCTCCACTGGCCATTCCTTTTCAGTCTTCCTTATGTTCCAGGACTCAGTGCTGCAGTGCCTTTTTCTTCTTTGTCTAAACTGCTAATTTTCTTGTAGTCTTATCTGTAGGTTTATGGCTCATAATTTCCAGACTTCTATTTCCAGTTCATACCTCTCCTTTTGATCCAGACTAGCATATCTAATTTGGCTCTACACATCTCTTTTTGGTTACCAGGCATTTAAAACTGTGTGTGCAAACACAACTCTTGCTCCATTGTCTTTGCAATTTCAGTAAATGGCAACTCTGTTCTTCTTATTGCTTGGCCAAAAGCCAGTCTGTACTCTTATTCTCACTTTCATATCCAACCAATCAACAAGTCTTATTTGTTCCACCTCAAAGTATCTCTAGAATTTATTTTTTACCAGCACTATAACTTTGGTTGAAGCAGCTGTCATCTTTTCACTTTTTTATTTTATTTTTTTATATTATTTATATTTATTTTATATTTATATTATATATTAATTATATTTGATTATTATTTATATTGTATTTATATTTATATTTATATTTATATTTATATTTTATTTTATTTTATTATAGTGCCCTTCTCATGAGTCTCATTGAGTCAGTCCTTGTCCTCCTGATTTATTGGATGTGTGTTTTAACACAACAGTTGATTTTCCTCCAAGCACACTCATATCTTTGCCCTAGTATATTCTCAGTCAGGGTTCCATTGACCTCACTCTAAAACTGTAACTCCCAAATTTCCAATCACAGTGTTCTCCGTTTCCCTATCTGCTTTTTCTCTGTAGCATACCTTTTAACATGCTCTTATATTTATTTGATTTGCTTTTGTCCCTCTACACACGAATGTGAGCTCCATGAACATAGCAGTGTTTGATTTGCTCAGTGATCCTAGCCCTGGTATCCAGAATACAACAGAATAGTAGTTGAATGAATAAACTGCCTCCCTCAGCAATTGTGCTGTGGGTAACATGAAACAAAGGCTACTGGACTTATTTTAAGCTATGCTATAGTTTTCTAAGCCAGCTAATAATGACTAGACTTACTTGTGACTATCTTACTAATTTATTAAAAATAAGGAAGTGCCTGTAATCCTAGATACTTTGGGAGGTGGAGATCAGGAGGATCAATGTTTGAGGCCATCCTGGGCAAAAAGTATGTGAGATGCATTTCAACCAATAAACGGGCATGGTGGCATACGCCTGTCATCCCAGGTGGGTAGGAAGTGTAAATAGGAGGATCTCAATCCAGACCAGCTCTGGCGAATAAATGTGAGACCCTATTCAAAAAATAAGTAAGGCAAAAAAGGGTGGGGATGTGATTTAAGTGATGGAGCACCTGCATAGCAAGCATAAGGGCCTGAGTTCACACCCCAGTACTGCCAAAATATAAATAAGTATCTGCCTGATGGCATGTATCTATAATCTCAGTATTTAGAAGGCTGAGGCAGGAGGAGTGCAAGTTTGGGGCTAGTCTGGGTTATATGAGGCATGTAGACTGTATGGATAGTGGTAGAACATGTGCTTAGCATGTGTGCAATTTGGGTATAATCTCTAGCACCACAGAAAACCCAATGAATACAAAAAAAATAAATAAAGCCTGTACATTACCATGTAGAGCAATCTTCAATAAATATTTTATTTATACACTCCCTTTCTCCTCCTTATATCAAATTTCAGTCATGGGAATAAAGGAATCATTTTATTAATACCTGATTTAATTGCTTTTGGAGACATTCTTTAGCTAATATTTATTAGTTTTTTGATTATGTTCCGTAATGTGAGGGTGTTGACACTTGTTACTTAGTGGCATGTTTTCAGAGATGAAGAATTGTTTTTAGTGGTGTTTTTTTTTCCTTGGAGTATATTGAAGCTGTAAGCTTACTTAAGTCAAGGGCCAAGTGATAAAGCTATACTGGCCCATATTTTCTGAGTCCAATTAAATTATGATTCAACTTAATAATTATGAAGGTAAAAAACCAGCATGCCTTAGAAGAGGGTGAGTTTAGGCTATTACCAACTTACACTATATTTATTAAGAACATCTAATGGTCATGGAGCTCATGAAGATGGTCAAGACACTGGTGTACCCAATCTATTTCTTACTTTATTACTTCCCTGTGAAATTGACAGAGCATATTTCTGACACTAATGGCCGCTGTCCTTGGGAGGCTGAGTCAGGATCATTTGAGCACAGGAGTTCAAGGTCAGGCAACATGAGACCCATCTCAAAAAAACCTCCAAAACCAAATAAACCAAAGTAACTGACATCTCTGTGGTGAGAAAATAAAGGCTACCCAGTCAAGACCATAGAGGTTATTTATTGCAAGAGTTTTGCCAAAGTTAGCGATATTTGAGGGGTAATATATGCATACAAAAAGTTGAAAGTTTTCATTTACTGAAAAATTTTAGATCATACGTATGTGTATTTCTATCTCTAGTATCCTTCAAGTTTTTCTGATATATCCAACTTTAAATGTTTAAAAATATCTATTCTGTCCTGAATGTTTTTAATGATGATAGCAAACATTTGCTATACTATGGACACACTGTAGAATACTGGGCAAATGTCAGTCATCTCTGTCATTTTTCAAACCCTGTGCAGTAGATATTACTAACAGTATTTTATTTTGAGAATTAAGAAACGTGTCCAAAGTTAGATTGCTGATGGAGTGAGCTGGAATTCAAATGCAGGTGCTTTCCTCTAGCCTTTTGTAAGTTTTGTATGTTTTATTTGTATGTGTGTGTGTACTTGTGTAGTATTATCTATAATCTTTAAATTTTACTGTTAGGCTACAAAGCTGTTTCACTGAATGAATATACTACCTCACACCTTATTAAACAGCATACACATAAATATAATCATTAGGTTAGGGTTAGTAGTGTCGTATTGTACCACACAACGGTGCTCTGAATTCATTCAGCTTTGTGAGGCAATTTACCCTATACAAAATGGCTTTGTGCTGCTATTTTAAAATTCATTTTGTCCCTTTCATTGTTATTCTCTGCTATCTATTACCCTACCACTGTTTTACATTCCATCTCCTAATTTTCCTGTGTCCAAGTAAACTCAACAACATTCATTTTGAGTTTTATACTTGAAGATGAAATGTAACTGAGTTGTACTTAAGGGTCTGTGATAGACCTTATTTATTAGTTTAGTTCTAGCCCATGAGCCTCCTCCTTACTTCTTTCCTGTATCTGCTGGGTAGTCAAGGTTAAGTGACTCTTTGCTTCAATGTGTCAAAGGGTATAAATGAATACAGTATTTCTTGCATACATGGGCATTTTGTATTTGAATTTATGAAGTCTTGAAGGAGCACTGTTGTTCCATGTTTGGTGAAAGTTAGACACATTCTGATGTTTTGTTCTTAGAAATTGACTGTTCATTATAGCCAGAACTATTTCACCTTGACATTAGAGATCCTGACAATGTAGTTATAAGAACATCTTGTTCTTGAAAATTGGACCTGTCCTTTTTTCCACAATCGAAATACACTGATAGCATATTATCTGTTACATGGATGAGCTTGTCAACATCAGGCACAGTGGGAAAACATCATCTATGAAGTGAATTTTCTGTTCATCACAGCCTTAGTCATCCTTAACATTTTTGAATGTGCTTTTCTGTATGTTAATTTTTCTGGTTAAGGCACCCAAAAGAGTATTATGAACATGTCAAATTTAAATTGTTTTTCTTTTGTGTTAACATAGAAAGTTTTGTGGTTTATATGTCTATGAGTTACTGAATTTCCATATGTGATTGGAAGTGGACTGTTATTCTTGTATCATGATTATTTTTTCCTTTTATATTCAAAGTAGACCCAGGATTTGTTTCAGAATTTTCTCAGCCTAAAATTCTGTCTAACAAGTTTAGAAGTATTGTGATAGTATACAGATAGTACATTCTAAACTTTCTTCTTTGTCATACTGTATAGGTATTTCAGGTATTGAATGAGAAGAAACAGATATATGCCATAAAGTATGTGAACTTAGCATAGGGGAGAAATGACCCAAGCCTTGTATGCACATACGAATAATAAAACAATAATAAAAAAAAAGAAATAGATGGAAGTACTTCTGCCCTTCTGTAGGGATTTACCTGCCCGTATAGCCAATGGCCACAATAGCAGCTTTTCTTCTTAGATTTCACTAAGTAAGGCAACGGATCAAAAAAAAAAAAAAAGTATGTGAACTTAGAAGAAGCAGATAACCAAACTATCGATAGGTACCGAATGAAATAGCATATTTAAATAAACTACAACAACACAGTGATAAGATCATCCGACTTTATGATTAGTAAGAATTCTTTTTTTCAATTAAAAAAATTTTTTTGCTATAGTTCTTCAAGTAAGTGTTAAGTAAATCTTAATATAACCTAGCTATTTGTTGTTTTGTTTGGTTTTAATTGCAGTGAAATCATGGACCAGTATATCTACATGGTAATGGAATGTGGAAATACTGACTTGAATAGTTGGCTTAAAAAGAAAAAATCCATCAATCCATGGGAACGCAAGAGTTACTGGAAAAATATGTTGGAAGCAGTACACACAATCCATCAACATGGTATTAAAATCTCTTCCTGTGGGTAAAGTTAAAATATTTGTTAAGGGCTATAGGCTTGGCTTAAGCAGTAAAGCACCTGCCTAGCAAGCATGAAGCCCTGAGTTCAAAGCCTAGCACTACCAAAAAAAGTTGTTGTTAATGTCATCAGAAAAATACACTTATTATTTTATTGGTATCTTTAGCTAGTGAACTAAATAATTGGAAGTATTTTTAAAGATGAGGAAATGAAGCCATTTCTTAATACTGTTAACCCAAAGGGTATAGTACATGAACTCAAATTCCTGCATTTGTAATGGAAAAAAGCATCTTTCTCAGTATTAATGTAGTCTGTGGTCCTTATCTTCAAATATTTTGGATTTTAGTATATCTGAGACTTTTGGGTCAATCATCCTAAAAATATGAGATGTTTATTTCCCTCTTTCCTCTAATGATTTTGCATTATGTGCCCTTTGTGAAAGTTGGTTTATTTTTTTACTGTTAGCCTCAGGCTTTTATTTTAACATGTTCTTTTTTTCATTTTAGAGCTTTCTCTGCCTTTCCCCTATCTTTAGAACAAAACTCTTTAATCTAGATGATTGTAATTTATCTCCCCGAATAAGTTTTCTTTACAAGTTAAGATAATTTATTAGTGATTACCATTAGTGCTGTAGGAAGTGTCTTTACATCTGGCAGTATAATTTACAATGCTCTGTACTGGAGAGAGATCCACAGTTGTACCTTGCATGTAACACATGCTAAGAAAGTACAGACCTTATGCCTTAGTTTCCTCACCTGAAAGTGGGGGATGATAATAATGGTATTTCCTTAGGCATTGTTTTGAGGATTAAATGACTCATTAAAAGCAGCAAACTTAGATTGTACTTGCATGTAACACATGCTAAGAAAGTACAGACCTTATGAGAAAGGGATATTAATTGGGTTGACTAACTCAAAGAACCAACTACAGATTGTAAATTTTACATTGTCTCATAATGGATTTTTTATTTTGAAGGCATTGTTCATAGTGATCTGAAGCCTGCTAACTTTTTAATAGTTGATGGAATGCTAAAACTAATTGATTTTGGAATTGCAAACCAAATGCAGCCAGATACGACAAGCATTGTTAAGGACCCTCAGGTAGGACATCTAGCGAATAGTTGGTTGTTTACTACCTGGTATTATTTATATCACCTCATTCTCCAAAGAATTTAGAGTCTTTTTATAAGAATAGGTACTAAAACCATAAAAAATTTCAAAACCATGGTCAATATGATTTAGAAAAGTAAGACAAGATTGTTAGAAATATATCTAGCAATTTTGAGTAATTTTCCTACAACTGAGGTAAAGAAGCAGTAATACCTGTCTTGGTAATCATTTTGTTCATGTTCTAAAATTGACCTGACAGTTGACTTTGGGTTTCCTGGTAGCAATCAGAGAGAGAATTGGAGTAACATGTTTTCCATTGTCGTCCATGAGGTGAGGTCATTTCAATTTAAGAGGGCTTTCATATTGGAAATGCCATAATTACTATTGTTTCCAACAGCACTTTGTAATAGGATATGCAATAGCAAATGTAATTAAGTTGTTCAATAAAAGCTAAAATAATGATAGCAAAGCATAACTAAAAGAATCTTGCTTGGAGATGACATGATGTGTCCATGTATGCTCATTTCTGTTGTAGATCTCCCTGAATTCTGGGAGCAGAACTGGGCTTTGATAAAAGGAATAGATGGGCAGCATGCCCGTAAAACAATTCTATCTGACAGTCATTACTTAATGTCAAAACTGGCTGAACATTGAGTTGTAAATCGGCTTGAAGATACCTTCTATAGCAAGCCCTAAGCTATGGGTAATTTGTGTTGAAGGCAGAGCCATTTATGTTAGAATCAAAGGTACAGTGCAATGTTGGCACCATCCAATTGTAGAGACTGTTGCATGACTTAGAAGTCCACTCTATCTCAGTTTGCACATGGGCCCTAGAGTCCCAGGATACCAAGCTAGATGTTTTTGTTGTTTGTTTACATATGAGTTTGTTGGTTTATTAAAGGGGAGTAACATGTTGAGTCTATTCAAGCATAGAAGAGAAAGTGATACTCCAATTCCTTAAAGCTTATTACCATTTATAGAATTTTAGCCTGGACAGTTTTTAAGGCAGATATGTTTTAAGGCACAGTACTCTGAAAGGAGTCAGTCTTCTGCTTCTGAACCCGATTCCTTTTGCTGAAGTTGGGAAGTTATTTGAATTTTTCAAGTTTATCGCTTAAATTTATAAGTATCCTAAGTCTCTAAGGATCTGGCATTTGTACTTTTAAAAAACCTGAAGCAGAATGAAATATTTTCATTGATTGACGTTTTCTGTGATTTGGCAAATAGGTTGGCACAGTTAATTACATGCCACCAGAAGCAATCAAAGATATGTCATCCCGAAGAGAGAATGGGAAATCCAAGTCAAAGGTACTGTATTGGGAATTTTACAAAAGTGACTTGGAGTAAAAACATCATTCTTTTGAGTGAATGTCTAGAATGGAACTTTTGTAATATGATGTGGTCTGGAAAGTATCAAAGAAAACCTGCTTTAAAAAAATTCATCATTATTTTTTATAGTGTTGTTTAATAAGGGACCCTAAACAGAGGATATCCATTCCTGAGCTCCTGGTACATCCATATGTCCAAATTCAAATTCATGCAGGTACTGCTTCTTTAAAAATTGCTCATTACTAGGTTCCTATGAACAGCCTATTAACTGTAACAAAACTAGAATCTAAATTGGCTACTCTTTTTGCTGCCTGCCCTCTTGCCAAACAGTAATGTAAATAAAAATGTCTGTCTTCATTGATGTCATTCAGTTTTAATTATCCTGCATAGGGGACAGTGATTGGTAGTAAATTATAAGAATGCCATTTATTGTGTTGTTAAGCAGAGTATATATTTTTGTTGCTTTATTTTTTGTTTTGAGACAGGATCTCACTTTTATGTATCCCAGGCTGGCCTCAACTCAAACTAATTATTTGCCTCTCTAAGTTGCTGGAGTATGTGCTTTTAATTGAATTTATATGTTTATTAGTATCACTGTATTGATATTGTATATTTTATAGGTAACCAGATAGCTAAGGGAACCACTGATGAAATGAAATATGTCCTGGGTCAACTTGTTGGTCTGAATTCTCCTAACTCTATTTTGAAAGCTGCTAAAGTAAGTATGTGTGTTCTCTGTGTTAATTAACTATTTTAATATAGCTTAATGAGTTACACCCTTAGAGAAACAGGTAACCCAAAGGAAAGTTGGGCCAGCGGTCTTGAAGTCTTTATTTCTGCACTTAGGTATTTAACACATCCTATTTGACAAGTACCTATCTTTTTTATTTATTTATTTTTTTGGCAGGAGATGGGGGACACACAGTCTGGGGTTTGAGCTTGAGGGCCTCACTCTTACTAGTTAGGCAATGAGCCATGCCCCCAGCCCTTTTTTGCTTTCTTTATCTTTCTAAGAAGTTCTTGTTTTTATGCCTGTGTGTGCCTGGACTGCTCTCCTCCTATTTATACTTCCCGAGTAACTGGAATGGCAGCATTGTGCCACCACACACAGCTTTTTATTGGTTGAGATGTGGTCTCGCCAGCCCACGCATGCTTCAAACCACAGACTTCCTGACCTCCACCTCCCAAGAAGCTAGGATTATAAGCGTGAGCCGCCATGCCTGGCTTGATTCCTGTTCTGTGCATATAGCACAGGCCAGAGTGGGTTTTCAAAACAGGTACATTCAAAGGATTACTGTCAGGCCTCAATTGAATAAATTTAGTATAGCACGTTATCTTTTAAATCATTCTCAACACGATTCTTAACACGGCTTTTGAATTCATTCCTTCTAGCCAATTTCTTATTAAACTTTAGAGATACAATAGTATTTGTAGCGCTTCTGTAAAGCTGTGCATAGCCATCAGCACAGGCCTCAGGCTTTCAGACTCCCATTACCTATTTGTGTCTGCACTATTCTTTTTGTCTTTCACTGTCTCAAATACCTAGTCATTTCTAGAATATTGTGAAAGTTCATCGATCAACTGGTTTAGCTGCCAAGAGATTACTAATGATATATTTCAGTTACAAGACTATTATAAAATTATGGAAGCGTGAATTAACATTCTTATGTCTCTGGCTCAGTCTACGTTACTAAGAGCCTGGACACACTTCTGAATGAAATATTACATTTGCATTCAAATAAGGTAAAATTTTTCTTAAACTTTCTCAAGTGCTTCTGGCTGAATCAGTGGCTTTAGGAATTAAGATTGGGCACATTGTGTTTTTTAATTGCTTTGTATTTTATATGTCCACGTTTAAAATTCATACCAATGTATTGCTCAAAACTTTTATAAATAAAATTGAGATGATTAGTCACCTTTATCACTGAAAGGCAAAAATGTCATTTTCATAAAGTAGATGTTAGCTAAGCCTTCAATCTTTTTTTAATACATTGACTTCAATATGTAGTTGGCCTTTTGTATCCATGAGTTCCACATCCATAGATTTAATAAAGTGCAATTCAAAATTATGCATGAGTAAAGAACATATATAAACTTGCTTCTTATTACTCCATAAAAAATACAGCATAACAATGATTTATATCATGTTCACATCGTATTAGTTGTTATCAGTGATCTAGAGATAATTTAAAGTATACAGGAGGATATACATACGCACATGCAAATAGTGTGCACTTTACAGAAGAGACTAGAACATTTACATTTTGGAATCTGTGGGGTGAGGATTTTGCAACCAGTCCCCCAGAGATACCAAGAACGACTGTACCTAATTATACTTGTTTATATCATTATTTACTACTGGTTTGTGTGTGTGCGGGTGTGCGTGTACGTGTGCACGTGTGCATGTGTGTGTATTCTGTGATGTGTGTATGTGTGATGTGTGTGCATGTGTGTGATGGGTGTATATATGTGTATGTGTGTCTATGTATGTGTGTAATGTGTGTATGTGTATTGTGTGTGATGTGTGTATGTGTTTGTGATGTGTATGTTTGTATGTATTTGTGTGTATGTATGGGTGTGTCTGTGTGTGGTGTATGTATGTGTGGTGTGTGTTTGTGTATGTGTGTGTATTGTATGTGCATGTGTGGTGTGTGTATTGTGTGTAGGTGGTGCATGTGTATTGTGTGTGTGGCATGTGTACATGTGTGTATGTGTGTGTGGTGTGTGTATGTGTGGTGTGTGTGTAGTGTGTGTATGTGCGTGGTGTGTGTATAGGTTTTTTGTGTAGTGTGTGGTGTGTGTATTGTGTGTATGTATGTGTGTGGTGTGTGGTGGGTGTATTGTGTGTGTGTGTGTATGTCTGTGTATGTGTGTTTATGTCTGGTGTGTTTGTGATTTGTGTGGATGTATGTGTGTGTGATTTTTGTGTGTATTGTGTGTAGGTGGTGCGTGTGTATTCTGTGTGGTGTGGATGTGTGTGGTGTATTTGTGTATGTGTTGGGGTGTGTGTATTGTATGTGTGTATATCTGTGTGGTGTGTATGTGTATAGGTGTGTGTATTGTATGTGTGGTGTGTATTGTGTGTATGTCTGTGGTTTGTATATATGTTTATGTGTGTGTATGTATGTGTCATGTATGTGTGTGGTGAGTGTATTGTGTGTTTGTGGTGTGTATGTATGTGTGTGATGTGTGTGTAGGTGGTGTGTGTATTGTATGTGTGGGTTGTGTGTGGTGTGTGTGTGTGTATGTGGTGTGTGTGTATGTGTAGTGTGTGTATGTATCTGTTTGTGGTGTGTATGTGTGTATGTATGTATTTGTGTTGTATGTATGGGTGTGTGTGTGGCGTGTGTGTCTCTGTATGTTTATGTGTATGTGTTTGTGTGTGTGTGTGTGGTGTGTATGTATGCATATGTGTATGTATATGTGTGTGTGTGTGGTGTATCTCGTGTGTGCTTTTGTGCAGTGTGTGTGTGTATGTGTGTGTGGGTGTATTAAGTGTATTAAGTGGGGTGTGTGTATGTGTGTACGTGTGTGTGTGTGTATTGTGTGTGTGTGTGTATGTGTGTGTGTGTGTGTAGTGGTATTGTGTGTATGTGTGTGTGTGTGTATGTGTGTGTGTGGGTGTGTATGTGTGTGGGTGTGTGTGTATTGTGTGTAGTGTGTGTGTATTGTGTGTATTGTGTGGAGTGTGTTTATTGTGTGTGTGTATGTTTATTGTGTGTATATGTGTGGGTGTGTGTGGATTGTGTGTATGTGTGTGTGGTGTTTGTATGTGTGGGGTGTGTGGGGTGTGCATGTATTGTATGTATGCATGATGGTGTGTGTATTTTGTGTATGTATGTGTGTGGTGTGTTTGTATTGTGTGTATGTGTGAGGTGTATGTGTGGGGGTGTGTGGTGTGTGTATTTTGTGTATGTATGTGTGGTGTCTGTGTATTGTGTGTGTGGTGTGTGGATGTGTGTAGTGTGTGTGGTGTGTGTGGTATGTGTGTGTGTTTGGTGTATGTGTGTGGTGGGTGTATTGTGTATGTGTGTGTATGTCCATGTGGTGTGTGTGTATTGTGTGTGTAGTGTGTCTGTGTAAGTGTGTGTGTGTTTGTACTTGTGCATGTGTGTGTATATTCATGTGTGTGTGAGGGTGAGTGTGTGTGTGTTTATGAGTGTGTGTATGGGTGTGTGTTGGCATCTGTGTATGTGTGTGTTTGTGTTTGTATGTGTGTATGCTTGTGAGTGTGTATTTGTGTGAGTCTATTTTCGAGTGAGAGTGAGTATGAATGTTGGTGAGAGTGAGAGTGGGTACATGTGTGATTGTATGTGCATATGTTTGTGAGTGTATATTTGTGTGTGTGAGTGTGTAAGAGGGTGTGTGTGTGTGTTTGAGTGAGTGAGAGTGTGTGTAGGTGTGTGTGTTTGTGTATATGTGTGTGTGATTGCATGTGGTGTTGAGTGTGTGAGTGTGAGTGACTGTGTGTGAGTGTTTTGTTTGTGTGAGTTGGGTTGTGAGTATGTGTTTAAATGTGTGTGTGAGTTGTGAGTGTGTGTATGTGTGTGATGTGTGTTAGTGGGTTGGCATCTGTGTTTGAGTATGGAATCAAATGCGTGTGAGTGTGTGTTTGTGTGTGACTGCGAGAAAGAGTAAATGTGTAAATGTGTGTAGGTGTATGAGTGAGTGTATATGTGTAGGTGAGTGGGTGAGACTGTAAATGTGTGAGTGTGCGAGCGCGTGTTTGTTTCGTGTAGGTGTGCATGTGTGATTGTATGTGAGTGCATGTGCAGCTGAGTGTGAGTGAGTGTTTGTGAGTGTGTATGTGTGTGAATGTGTGAGTGCATCTGTGTGTACATGTGTATTTGAAGATGAGGTTCTATGTTCACGGGTGCGAGAGTTATTGTGAATGTGTTAGAGTGTGACAGTGTGTATGTTGGTGTGTGCAGGTGTGTGTAAGTGAGTGTGTGTGTTTGCGTTTGAATGTGAGTGGGTATTTGGGTGCAGGTGTGTGAATGAGTGTGTATGTTAGTGTGTTCAGGTGTGTGGGAGTGTGTGTTTATGTGTGTGAGCGTATGTAGTGGGGGATATGTGGGTGAGTATGAGAGTGAGTGTGTGTATTTGTATGTTATTGTGTTGGCTTGGGTGTATTGACGTGTGTGTGAGTATGCGTCTGTAAGTGTGAGTGTGATTTTGGGTGAGTGTGTGAATGTGAGTGTAGAGTCTGTGTGTTGATTGTGAGTTCACATGTGTGCATTAGTGTTTGTGTATATCTATGTGTTTGTGTGTTTGTATGTGTATGAATGTGTTTTTGTGTATGTCTGTGTACGTGTGTGTGAATTTGTGAATGTGTGCATGAGAGTGTGCATGTAGGTCTGTGTTTCTGTAGGTTTGTGTGTGTATATGTATATATGTGAATGTGTATGGGTGTGAGTGTATATGGGTACGTGTTGTGAGTGTGAGTGTGTATGAAAGTGTGTGGGAATGTGTACGTGTGAGTGTACGTGAGGGTGTCAGTCTGTAAAGGTGTGCACAAATGTATGATTGCTGATGACTGTGAGTGTGACTGTGTATGTGCGTGTTTGTATGAGTGTGAAAGTGTGTAGGTGTGTATAGATGACAGTGTGTATATGTGTGAGTGTGTGACTGCATGTGTGTGTGTATGTACGTGAATGTGTGGTGTCTCAGTGTGAGTGAATGTGTGAGTCTGTGTGTGTGTATGTGTGTCTGAGTGTGTGAGTGTGAGTCTGTGTGTGCATGTGAGTGTGTTGGCTTGCGTGTTGGTGTGTGTGTGTGATGTGGGTGAGTGGGTTGGCTTGTGTGTTAGAGTATGGATTCAAATGTGTGTGAGTGTGTGCTTCTCTGTGTGTGTGTGTGAATGTATGTGTTTGAGTTTGAGTGTGAATGTGTGCATGTGTGTGTGAGTGAGTGTGTGTGTGTCTTAGGGTCCTGGTCAACCAATTCTCTTCTCTGTTCCACTCATGGTTGTGTTTTAACTTACTGACCCATTTCTCTTCGTTTAGAGTTGCATTCATTTTTCTGGTTTGAATGTCCGGTAATTTTTTACATTAGATGCCAGATATTTTACTTCTAAAAATTCATTATTACTAGTGGTACTGGGGATTGAATTCAGGGTCTCAAACTTACTAGGCTAGTGCTCTACAACTCGAGCCACGCCCCCAGCCCCACGTATTTTAAATTTGACCCTGTTGAATCTTCTTGTACTTCTATAAATATTCCTGAGCTGTGTTCCGGCCTGTAGGTAAGTTGTGTAGAAACAGTCTGATTCTTTAAAGGTTTGCTTTCAGGTTTGTTAGTTTGGACCAGTGAAGGCTTTGGTCTTGCTTTAATTTTGCCTCACTACACTCAGTCCTCTGTATCTATGGGTACATATCCATGGATTCAATCCTCTGTGGATCTAAAATTTTTTAAAAATTACATTTATAGTACACAGATTTTTTGTCATTATTCCCTAAATAATACAGTATAACTATATCCCGTTTGCATTGAATTAGGTAATCTATGGATGATTAAAAATAACAGGAGAACGTACAGAGATCACATGTAATTCTACGGCATTTTATGTAAAGCAGTTGCGCCACCAAGATCTGGGATCCTTGCTGATATCCAAAGCGGAGAGGACAGGGTCTCATGTTAGCTGGGGATGACAGGGTTCTAACGGAAGCCTGCAAGTTCACAGGTGACAGCTGTAGTTTCCTACACATATCCCCAAACCAACCGGTCTTACCATACAGCGTGTCACAGATCATCTCCTCTCCTCTCGCAGATGAAGAGAAACCGCTGCTCTGCACTACAAAGCCACTTAGCAGCGCCGCCCTCCCTCCCCACCCGGACACCTGTCCCCTTCACTGGGACCCCCGGAGGGAGAGGGGCTGATAGAGCGAACTACGGCAGAGCAATCCCGGCGGAACCTGAGAATTTTGACACAGGGTAAGTAAGGTCTTGGCTTGACGAGGCAAGGAAGACTCAAGGGTGGTGCTTCCAGACAACAATGGGAGCCCAATGACAAAAGCACCGAGATTCCTGCGCGGGCTGCAGGGCTGAGCCGCGAAACGTCTTTTCTCGCCACGCCCTCCCTAAGGCCCGCAGTGAGGGCGCTGGGGACCCAGCCGCGGGGTGGCGTGGGGGTGAAGGACCCACCACGCACTTGATGTGGTGAGCGGCTGTTCCCGCCCCGATGTTCATCTCCGCCGGGAGTGGCCACCCTCCTGGCAGAAATTGGGCCTGCTTAAACTGGAGGAGCAGGAAAGACAGCCGACTCGCGTCCGGGAAGCAGCTGCCGCGCTCCACCCAGCACCCTACCAGGGGCTACAGACGTGGGGTCAGGCTCCCGAACGCAGGAGGCGGGGAGGCGCCGACGCAAGGAACCAATCACCACAGACGCTCCCACGTGATTAACCTTGACCAATAGGAGGCCGCGGCGATAGCGGCGGAGCAACTCAAACGCGCTTACGAAGAGAGATGGGGGTTCCGTCTTTTCTTCTCTTCCGCTCGGCTTCCTGGAGGCGAGTATTGGCTCACGGGCGCATCGAGGAGCGGCGGCGGCCGGTATGTGGGCTCTTTAGCAGCGAAGACCGGAGAGGGGTGGGGGCGAAGCGGGGCAGCACAGAGCTGCGTAGCCGACAGGGCGCGTGTACATGACCTGGCGGGGGAGGGAAGGTTCGCGGCTTCTGCGATCTAGAGGGTGGGGTGATGCCGCAGTAAGAAGCGCGTGTGGACCTCGCTGGAAAGAAGGCGCGGCGGGCACTGGCGCAGAAGATTTGTCTCCTCTGCTGGCTTAAAATTGGGACAGGCGGTGGTGTCCTGACATTGGACTTTCAAACCTGATTTAAGGGGTGGGTGATAACTTGCTGCCTACTTTATCGCCCCTTTTTATTGTCAAGTTCCAGAACAGGTGACAGTGCAGGCAGTGATCCCGAGTGAATCTGTTGATGTTTGAGAATCACAAAGATGAGATGGACAGGAAGAAAGATTGTAGACACTTCGTTTACCTAACACCACCCACCATTATGCAGATGAGCACGTGCTCAGTACTGTAGTTGAGTTCTGTAGTAGAATGACTGAGGCAGTAGTTCGTTGATTCTGCCAAATCCACACAAGGACAAAGCTGCTGAATCTCAAGCATCAGTATACGTTCTGCTTTGAAAGTATTCATTGTGAAGCTTTACGCACATAAAGCAGATGACTAGAGCAGCAGTTAATTTCATTCCCAAAGGGATTCTTCCTGTCTATATGTTACTACCAGAATCCAGGCAAACACTGTATATATTTTAAATGATAAAATTTGCAGATGGCCCACAGGACATAATTCTGGAAAAAAGTGAAAGGAAGTTTAAAATGAGGGAGAAATTTTTGTGTTGTGCAGTGACTTCAGGATTGCAACTTTACAGAGGCCATTGGGAAGAAAAGGTAATTTTACCTATTGAAACCTTCCCGGACAGATTACAAAGCCATATAGATCCATTATGTTAGTCCACGTAGCTCCACTAAGACTTTTTTAAGAAAGAGTTGCATTTAGATATGTTCCCCAAACTAATGCTTCATCTTCTGGGTTCCAGAAAACTAGTTGCAACTTAGAAATGGAGGCTGAGGAGTTAAGTGGCAGAGAATTGACAATCGATTCCATAATGAGCAAAGTGAGAGATTTTAAAAATGAAGATCTTACTGATGAGCTAAGCTTGAATAAAGTCTCTGCTGATACTACAGGTAAGCTTTTTCTTTTTTCCTTTTATAATTCATTGCGATGCTGGGTATTGAACTCACGACCTCACACATGCTAAGCAAATGTTGTACTACTGCGCTATATCTCTAGCCTCTTGTTTTTAAAGAAGCAAAAACAAAAAAAGCAATTAACTTAAAGTGTCCTGTAAGGTATAAGGAAGTAGATGTTAACCTCTGTGTTAATATAATGTACATTTCTCAGTCGTTGATGCTTATCTACCAGAGTGCACTTTATTTGAACCTGTTTGTCTGGAACTAGTCCACAACTGTCTGCTTGTTTTAAAAAGATGAAACATCATCTGGACTTGGTGGCTCCCATCTGTCATCTCAGCACTTAGGATGCTGAGGCAGGAGGATCTCTAGTTCTCTTATTCAGCTGGGGCTGTACAGCAAGGTGAAGGCCAGCATGAGCACATAGTGAAACCCTGTCTCAAAACACAAAGAAAGAGAGAGAGGTAGGAAGGGAAAGGGCTGGGGAAGGGGGGTGGAGAAAGAGAGGGAAGAGGGCAGGGAAAGAAAGAAATGCTCTTTCTTATTAGTGTGCTTACAGGTACTTTTCTTAGTACTTTCATTATTGTTAGCTATTTCCGCTGATATGCCTGCCATCAGTAGATACGCCTTCTTTTCCATTCCTTTTTTACTCTGAATGAGCACACGTTATCAATGTTAATATTACATATAAATTTAGCATCAAACACTGGATTTTTGATTTGAAGAATTGGTCTCTTTCTCCCCTGGCCCTTTTTTTTCTATCCTTTCTTACTCTCTGTTCCAGTTACAGTGGCTTTCCTGATGTCTCTTCTGTATCCTAGAGCAGCGCATGTCCCAATGCCTTTGCTGTTGACCTATGCCTTTATTTGTTTTGTTTTTAGCAGTACTGGGGTTTGAACTCTACATCTTGAGCCACTCCACAAGCCCTTTTCTGTGATGGGTTTTTTTTCAAGATAGGGTCTCACAAAGTGTTTGCCCTGGCTGGCTTCAAACCGCAATCTTCCTGATCTCTGACTCCTGACTAGCCAAGATTACAGGTGGGAGCTACTGGTGCCTGGCTTGAAGGGTTATTCTTGATGTTTCTACGGGTTGGGATTCCACAGAGAGAAAACTGACAGCTGCAAAAAGTCCTATAAATTCTGAAGGTCTAGATCAGGCTAGCTATGTGTTGGTGAGACCAGGAAATTATTAGGGCCTTTCAGAGAAATGTAGGTAACTTGGAGGAAGAAGAAAATAACTATCAGCTTCTAATCTTTTGTAAAGCTGGTTTTCTGTGGTGGTTTTGTAAGTAAATTTGAGGTATACTGAAAGAATGTTGACTGGGTAAGGCTGTAAAGAAAGTTAGGACCAGAGCAAGAAGTTTTTGAGTTTTTCATGAAATAAATGATAGATGGAGGATTTTCTAGTATGAATTGTTACTGTCTTAAAAATTATTACTGATATTATAACTGTTTAACTATAACTTGAAGGAAAAAATGCAGTTTGGAATTGTTTTATGTTTATCTCTGTTGTGATATATTTTGTTGTCCTTATTCAGCTAACTCAGGAACTGCTAACCAAATTATGATGATGGCGAACAACCCAGAGGACTGGTTGAATTTCTTGCTTAAGTTAGAGAAAAATAGTGTCCCCCTGAATGATGCTCTTTTAAATAAATTAATTGGTCGTTATAGTCAAGCAATCGAAACACTTCCTCCAGATAAATATGGCCAAAATGAGAGTTTTGCTCGAATTCAAGTGAGATTTGCTGAATTAAAAGCGTAAGTATTAGCATTTTAACTTCGCTTGACTATGTTATATAATATGTAACTATATCGTAAAGAGGGAAAACAAAAGCATATCAAATTAATATTTTTTGGCCAAATACTTTTGCCTTTAGTGTAAATTAGTTTACATGAAAAGGGACTAGTGTAAACTGTTTTCTATGTACATATTTCAAAAAGACCTACAAATTTTAGACTCTGCCTAAAAAGATTTTTTAAAAATAACTTGTTTTATTTTATACACAGGAGAAATCAAATTCCATGTCTTTTGGAAAATAAAGTGAAGCACTACCAAATTTAGGTAGCTATGTCTTTTTTTGAAAAAAAACCAAAAAGTGTGGACTGACTCTGAGTTTTTATTACAGTATGCAAGAGCCCGATGATGCACGTGACTACTTTCAAATGGCCAGAGCCAACTGCAAAAAGTGTGCTTTTGTGCATATATCTTTTGCACAATTTGAACTGTCTCAAGGTAATCGAAAGGTGTCAAATGCACATTTGAAGTAAAAGAGCATCCTAAACTAACACGTCCTAATATCAAATCATATTCGAAGTGGAAATTTAAGGCAAAAGTTGATTAGATGAGAAAATGGAGGTGCTACTTAAACATAAAAACAATATTCATTATAGTAGCTCTTTTAATTAATGAACATCAGCATGAACATAGTGTTTGTGCTATAAGAGTCAGGATACATCTAAAGAAGAGTTGCTTCTTCACTGAGTATCGTAAAATGAAAGACACATAACTTTTAGAATTTAAACTGTTGTTTCATAGCAGTGAAATGTACATCTTTGGAATACATAAAGTGAGTTAGCTATAAAAAAGAAATTTTAAGCCACTGCAATGTGGCAGTAGCCTTAAGGTCAAAATTATGATTATTTTGAACAGACTTGATAGGCTCTCAGGAAATAGGCAACATCCCTGAAATCTTCTGCTCAGTCTGGTGTGTGTGTGTGTGTTTTGTAGAGGTGGAGGGTATTCCATAGTTTTTATTAGATTTTCAAAGGGAGTCTTAAAATACCAAACTCTCAAATTACTAGTTCTTATCTAAGTTGTTCATTTGCTGTCTAAAAATTCTTTATTATGTGAACTTTTACTGCTGTTCTCAATAAATGTGTGGATTTAACCACTATCAAATATGTTCATGTTCTTTAAAATTTGTAAACCTTGTAAACTGACAGAAACTAGAAATAGAAGTCATCTCTTAATCGTCTTTTTTACCCTGAGTGCCAGTGTGTGGCATTATAGCTCATGGGTCCTGTAATTGTTGATAACACTCCATATTTGCATGATGTGTACATTTAAAATTTATAAATCAAGTACAAAGGATAAATTTTGCATTTCAAAGAAAATTTGTTTGGCAGTCTGTCGTCAGAAAGGTAATTATCGTTCAGTCATTTTGTATTTAGGGAATGGAATAGCTAAGTCTGACAGCTAAAGTTGATCACTTTTTTTTTTTTTTAAACACAAATCCTTTTAGCCAAAGATGTCAACCTTGCCTTGATGACTAAATGTTTCTGTGAATGATATTTCTTACAGTGTGTTCTAAGAGACTGTTGCTCTTAGGACTACTTTAATATCTAGAATTGCCTGTTTCTAACTGCTGTAATTAGATTTTGCTTTTTCTTTTGTATTGCTCTGTTAAACTTCTGTTGCTTCTGAAAGTGAACAATTTATAAATGAATACAAAATGGTAAATTGCATATTACACAATGAAACTCTTTGAATACGTAGTGTTATCAGAAGAGAGTTGATTATATGCATGAGAAATGAGACATTGCTTATTTGCCTATGAAATCTTATGCATAAGTCTTGGGACAATTATCTTTGCTTAAGTGTTCTAAATTTTTTCTTAGGCTCTGATGAAATAAATACGTATTTGGAGTTTGGGCTGAAGAGTGCTTTATAAAATGACAATTATCCTTTTTTGCTTCTTCATAAAGCTGTAGAAAGTGGAGCAGTACCGTTAGAAATGCTGGAAATTGCCATATGTAATTTAAACCTACAAAAGAAGCAGCTGTTTTCAGAGGAGGAAAAGAAGGGTTTATCAGGTAACTATTAACGTGTGCTAATATTTTTCCACGGTAGATAGTACTGCAGAAAGGATTCAGAATAACTTTTTGTAGGACTAATATTTACATGGAATACTCAAAATCTGTTTAGTTGCAAATGGAAATGAGATAAGACTATTAGAAGTAAAAAGATCTTACCTACCTTGTTGATACTTATCTTTTGTGCCTAATCAAAATTTCATTGGTAACATTAAAAACAACTCAGTCAAAGCAAGAGAATGGCTTTGTGCTTATAGAAACAGAGTGTGCTGTTTATCCCAGGGAGACAATTATATAAAGAGAATTGAAGAGGTAATTAGAATTGCCTGATAACATCTTCATGTCTTCTTACAGGAGGGCAATTATTTATTATAAATTGATTTTTAAAATTTTCTTATGTGTAAGATTACTTTTTCTTTTTGATGGAAGTGGGGTTTGAACTCAGGGCTTTGCACTTGCAAAGCATGCGCTCTTATGGCTTGAGCCACACCTCCAGCCCTGTAAGATTACTTTTTGTGTACTTTTTATGTCCTTACAAATTTAACCACAGTTTTGAAATTTTTACAGCATCTACAATGTTTACTGCTCAAGACTCATTCTCCAGTTCAGTTGGACATTTACAAAAGTAAGGACATGGGTTGTGATTCCAGAGGACAGGCTACCAAAGCCAGGTTTTTGTATGGGTAAGAAAACTCATCATTTATGTAAGTATGTCTACATAAGAGTTTTTTTGTAAGTGTAACCATGTTTAGCAGTAAATGGAAATACACATGAATATTATTCTTTGAAAAACTGGGTACTTTCTTTTTGTTTAGAGAGAACATACCACCACAAGATGCCGAAATAAGTCATCGAAATCCCCTGAAACAAACTAACAAAACTAAACGGGTGAGTCACTTTCAGTCTGCTTTGATGAAGGTGGTGGTAGTGAAGTCTTTGCATTTCCCAGTTGATTACTCAGTCTTTCAAATCATTTCAGTCGTGCCCATTTGGAAGAGTCCCAGTTAACCTGCTAAATAGCCCAGATTGTCATGTGAAGACAGATGGTTCTGCTGTGCCAACTTTTACAAAAAGGTATGGTTGAGTTTTAATTTTTAAATTTGTGTATATTTAAAGATTGATGGCAGAATGGTTTTAAACTCTTTTTCACTGAGTAACAGTAATTATGATTAAAGTTTTTGGTATTTTTGTTCTTTTTGTTCCAGACTGGCCTGGAACTCACTATCTTCCTGCCTCCAATTCCCAAAGGTTGGGATTATAGGTGTGCACTACCATACCGGGCTGAAGTTACTGAGTTCCTAAATGCTCTCAGGAACAAAAAAATGAATAGAGAAAGTGACTTTTCAGGTTTTTCACTCATTAAAAATATTTATTAAAAAATTAGGAACATGTTAGAGTGAAGCTTAAAAGGCTGTCAACATCCTTGGAGTTAAAACTCCTGATGTTTGGGTATTTCTTCCTATGGGTCACCTCTTGGATAAGATTCTCTTCCTAGTGCATTTGAGAGTCTCCACAGCAGGGTGGAAGGTAAGGGGGAAGAATAGCTATCAGTGGGAAAAAAGGATGAATTCAATCATTTACTTTAGAGTTACGGACTTTAAGAAATGGGAGAGGGATTGGGGTGTACCTCTGATAGAGTGTGTACTTAACATGTGCAAGGTCCTGGGTTCAATCCCCAGCACCAAAAACAGCAACAGATGAGTTAATTAGCTGCTGGGGAAGATGGTGCATGCCTCCACAACCCCAGGTAATAGGGAGGCGGAGCCCTTTGAATCTAGCTAGTTAGGGCCAGCCTGGGCAACATAGCAAGACTCCATGTCTTTAAAAAGAGAAAAAGCAAGGCTAGGTAGTGAAACATTGTTCCTCACATACAATATATTTCCCCTCAATTTGGGTGCTTATTCCCTTATAAGAAATAAGAATATGCCAGGCTTGGTGTCTCATGCCTGTAATCCCAGTACTTGGGAGTCTGAGGTAGGATGATCGTGAGTTTGAGGCCAGCCTGGGCTACATAGTGAGACCCTATATTAAAAAGCCAAAAAAGAAAAAAAGAAATGGGGTATAGTTCAGCTAAAGAAGAGAGTTTTTCTTACTTGTTCTTATTTCTAATTATGCGTATATCAATCATTTCACAAATACACCTGAGAAGCACAGCTTATTTTTAACTTGTATCTTCAATAATTAGTCCTGTTATATTTAAAACTTGAATAAATACTAATATTAAAGGGGCATTTTGTTTATGTGTATGTGTGTGTTGGTGTATGAGTGTGTACAATTGTGTGTTTTGTTTTGTCTAAGTGTGTGTGTGTGTGTGTCCTTGTGAATGTGGGTGTGTGTGAGTGTGTGTATGTACATATGTGTGAGTGTGTGAGGATGAGGGAGTCCTTGTGTTTCGGAGTGTGTATGGGTGTGTGTGTGTGTGTTGGCATCTATGTGTGTTGTTTGTATATGTGTATGTTTGTGAGTGTGTTTGTGTGTGAGTCTATTTTTGAGTATGAGTGAGTATGAATGAGTGTGTGAGTGAGTGTGAGAGTGGGTGCATATGTGATTTTGTTTGTGTGTGAGTGTAAGTGTTGGAGTGTATGTGTGTGGTAGTGTAAGTGTTGTGAATGTGTGTATGTGTGAGTGTATGTGTGTGAGGGTGTGCATGTGTAGGTGAATATATGTGTGAGAACGTGAACTTGTTTTTGTGTGAGGGTGTATGAGTCTCTGAGTGTGTGAAGGTGTGTGTATCTGTGTGTGTGAGTCAATGTGTGTATGTGTGTTTGCGTGTAGGTGTGTATGTGTGAGTGTTTATGTGTGGGTTAGTGTGAGAGTGAGTGACTTAGTCTCTGTCAGTGTATTTGTATGTTAGTATGTTGGTAGTGTGTGACTGTCACTCAAGCCACTTGGGAGGTCTTCGGGAGAGGGCAGGGTGGAGAGAGGTGTTTCCTCAGCACCCTTCAGGGGTGGGGACTGTGTCTCTTATACCTGGGTCTTTGAGTTTTGACGGCTGTGTGAGAGGCAGGAGTTCCCAGAAGCTGCATGGGGCCCAGCGTGGGGCAGGCCCTGCTTCCCAGAGGGTCCTGATTATCCTGCTGGAGACCAGCAGCTTCAAGAAAGGAGGTTGAAGTAGGACTCCTTTGTCCTCTTACTGGCTTTGGCTCCCCCACTAAACTGTCTGTGGGAACCTAGCTCAGTGTTTCTGTCTTGTTCTTTTTCCTATCTGAAGTCTTATGTTTTCTTACTTCAAGAAAATAGTTTCACCAAAGTCTTCAGCTATCCTACTCTATAGAAGAAAACATCCCTTTGATGCCCCAAGATGAAAAAAATATATTAAAATTATTTTCTAACCAAGTCTTGAGACAGGCCCTCCCCCACCAGCCTCAGAAACTTAGCATCAGAGTAGACGTGGAGATAGCAGAAGATAAGCATGTTTTCTGATAGAACCTAAGAGTATCTGCGTTAGCTCTACTCTGGAGCTATTTCAGACTTTAGAAGAGGTGGCCCATGAATGCAGAACCAGAGAAACTGGCAGACACTGACGCCTCCCACTCAGAACCCCAGGCTTCAGACAAACTAAAAGTCAGGCGGATGGAGTTCACATCACTATATCTAGATCTTTCTCCACAACATGTCATGCATGCTTTCTAAACGTACTTCCAGGGGTGCTGATGGACTTACCACAAGAGGTAAAAGGGGTACCTATTTCACAAACAGGGACTTTTTTGTTTTGAGGTAGAGTCTTACTGTGTTGTCCAGACTCAACTAGTCCTCCTGCCTTAGCTGGAGTAGGTATATACCACCACATCTGGCCCAAATAGGTGATATTAAAAGAGTAACTCTGCTGGGCTCCAGTGGTTTACACCTGTAACCCTAGCTACTCAGTAGGCAAAGATCCTGAGGATTGTGGTTCAATGCCAGCCCTGGGCAAATAGTTCACAAGACACTATTTTGGAAAAAAAACTCTCACAGAAAAGGGCTCATGGAGTGGCTCAAGCAGGAAGAACACCTACCTAGCAAGTGTGAGGTCCTGAGTTCAAACCCCAGTACTGCCAAAAAAAAGAGTAACTGTCCAGATCCCCAGCCTCTGTGTTCTCTTTCCTCAAAAAAGCTTTACTGTGAAGTTGTCATGCCGGATCTCCTTCCCATTTTATCAGCTCACATAGAACTTGTATTACTTCCAGGGTGCCAAACTAAGAGGGAATTTATAAAACTGAGCCTCATCTGATCAAGGGTCCATGGACTATCCATTCGCCTCAGTAGGAAACATTTCCAATACAGTCATCAAAATGTAAGCGATTGTCCTAATCATATATTTAGTACTACTAATAATTATGGAAATTTGATGTAAAATAAAAAATTAACTTGTAGGGCTTTATGATCACAGGAATTTTTTTTTTGGTAGTACTGGGGTTTGATCTCAGGGTCTACGCTTTGAATCACTCCACCAACCCTTTTTTGTAATGGAGTTTTTCAAGATAGGGTCTCGCAAATTATTTGTCTGGGCTGACATCAAACCATGATCCTTCTGATCTCTGCCTGCTGAGTAGCTAGGATTACAACTTGAGCCACCAGCACCCATTCACAGGAAATTCCCCGCCCTCCCCCCCCCAGGTGCTGGGGTTTGAACTCAGTGCTTTGTGCTTGCTAAGCAGGCGCTCTACCACTTAAGTTATACCTCCAGCCCAGGAAAATTTTTTTTCATTATTGTACTGGAAGTACATTGCAACATTTACAAAAGTACTGACAAGTTATCATAGTTGAATTCACCCCCTCCTTCATCTTTCCTCCCAGGAAGTTTTTTAAAATGAATTTTATTTATTATTTTGGTAGAACTGGGGTTTTAACTCAGGACTTTGCACTTGAAAAGCAGATGCCCTGTCACTTGAGCTACACCTCCATTCTTTAATTTTGAATTACATCCTTTTATTACAAAGTGTGATACATGATCAATGAAAAAACCTTGGGTTGGGAGGCACAGCTCAAGTGGTAGAGCGCCTGCTTAGCAAGTGCAAGGGCCTGAGTTAAACCCCATCATAAACACAAACAGTGCCCCATTTGATATGATGCCTGACATATTCATCTAGTTTGCACAACCACCAGTTCGCACAGCTGTCTTCAACCAAACTAGCCCCTTAGAGCCCCTCCTCCATCCAGACAGGAGTTGGAGCTTGGGCAAGCTGCTGGCTTCATAGCACTGGAAAGGACATCCCAGCTAATAGGCTTTCCAGGGCCTGAGGTGGACACAATGTTGTAGACACTCACCTTGCTGCTCAGAACCCAGGGAGAACAACCAGACCACTTTGGTGATAAGACACAGATTTGTTTTAATGACTTCCAAGGTTTAGTTTTATCTTCATGGCCTGTGATTTTTCTATGGAGTAAAATCATGCTAGAATTTAGGTAGCGGTAGAGGGACTTTGACCAAACTGAGGCAGGCGACTCAAGCAGGCTGTGGACAAGAATAGTCTTGAACAGCAGGCCTAACCCTGAGCTATGAATTAGAACGTGGCTGGAGCTGAGGACACAGAGCTAACAGGAAAGGGCCCAGGCTGCTGTCAGAACACACTTCCACACACCCAAGGCCAGGACCCTGCTGACGTGGCAGCACGCCATCCTGGCCCCTGACTGCCCCCCACCTCTCTCCGTGGCTTGCCAGCTGCCATCAGGCCTCTGGCCTGTATCTGCCACACCTGTCACTGTCTGTTCTTGTCCGCAGAGTGTTGGGGGATCAGCCCCTCCTCTGCTGCCCAGCAGAGCAGGCAGTTAGTGGGGAGGGGAGGGAACATGGAGCGGGGGCGGTGGTGGGGGCTAGGGCCCAAATCCAGGCACTGCTGGGTTGCCTGGTCAAGGTGCTGCTCTGGGTGGCCTCTGCCTTGCTGTATTTTGGAAGTGAACAGGCTGCCCGCCTCCTGGGCAGCCCCTGCTTACGGCGCCTCTACCATGCCTGGTTGGCAGCTGTGGTCATCTTCGGATCCCTTCTGCAGTTCCATGTCAACTCTCGGACTATCTTCGCTAGCCACGGCAACTTCTTCAACATGTGAGTTCACTCAAAGCCCTGGGAGCAGGCTCCCTGCACTCTGAGAGCCCAGCTCCCTTCTTCGGGCTTCTGTTCTCCTGCCAGTCGGAACACTAAAAATAGGCTAGGTGGTTGAGAAGGTCAGGGGAGGGGGAGGGGAACAGAGCCTGGGGGTACGGGCAAGTCAGGAATAGGGCTGAAGAGGAAATGTGGGCCCTAGAAGGCCAAGTTTAGGCATGAGATGGACTAGTTTAAATGACTGGGGCTGTCAAGGGTGTGGGAAGGAGAAGCGCTGCTGATGTGCAGAACTGGACAGAGTAATCCAGGGTGGAGGATGGGTTGGGGGTCTTAGCAGCCTTTCCTCTTCTCTGCCCACAGAAAGTTTGTGAATTCCGCATGGGGCTGGACCTGCACCTTCCTGGGGGCTTTGTGTTGCTGGTGGTGTTCCTGGCTACACGGCGCGTGGCAGTGACCGCCAGACACCTGAGCCGACTGGTGGTGGGGGCAGCTTGTGGCGAGGGGCCGGCCAGGCCTTCTTCCTCATTGAGGACCTGACTGGTTCTTGCTTTGAGCCTCTACCCCAGGGCCTGCTGCTCCATGAGCTGCCTGACCGCCGCAGCTGTCTGGCTGCTGGCCACCAGTGGCGGGGCTACACAGTCTCCTCCCACACCTTCCTGCTCACCTTCTGCTGCCTGCTCATGGCCGAAGAAGCAGCAGTGTTCGCCAAGTACCTGGCCCATGGGCTGCCGGCTGGCACACCCCTGCGCCTTGTCTTCCTGCTCAATGTGCTGCTGCTGGGCCTCTGGAACTTCTTGCTGCTCTGTACTGTCGTCTGTTTCCACCAGTACACTCACAAGGTGGTGGGTGCTGCAGTGGGCACCTTTGCTTGGTTCCTCACCTATGGCAGCTGGTATCATCAGCCCTGGTCACCAGGGAGCCCAGGTCATGGGCTCTTCCCCCACCCCCACTCCAGCCGCAAGCATAACTGAAAGAAATAAAGGCACATCAGGCCTGGCTCTGGCTCCTGTCATCATTTATTTGGGGCCTGGAAAGAGTGGGTAGGGTAAGAATAAGGTCTAGTGCCGGGCCACAGTGGTTCACCTCTGTAATCCTACCTACTCAGGAGGCAGAGACCAGGAGGACTGTGGTTTGAAGCCAGCCTAGGCAAATAGTTCTCCAGACCTTATTGAAAAAAAAACCATCACAAAAATAGAAGTGGTAGAGTGGCTCAAGGTGAAGGCCTTGAGCTCAAACATCAGTACTGCAAAAAAAAAAAAAAGAAAAATGAAAAATGATGTTGCTGGCATTCCTTAGCTATCCCTGATGTCATCAACTTTGTCCTTTTTTTACATGATCTCTGTCTCCCCTGCTGTTCCCCTCCTTTCAGTCTCCTGGTCTGCAGACCTCTAGCAATCTGGGACTGTGATATCAAAGAATGGTGCTACTAAGGCAGATAACAGTGCCCTTTGTTATATATATATATATTCTATGAAATATATTCATAGAATTCTATGAAAATAGAAGAATGAGGTGGGTCATGCCTGTAATTCTAGCTACTCAGGAGGAGAGGTCAGGAGGATTGTGGTTCAAAGCCACAAGCCAAAGTTTTATATATATATATATTTTTTTTTTTTTGAGGTACTGGGGATTATACCCAGGGCCTGGTATGTGCTAGACAAGTGATCCGCACTGAGCTATGCCCCCAGCCCTTGCTTTTTAAAAAAACTTATCAGTATATAATATTTGTACAGGGGGATACATTGTAATATTTACATCTGTGCTTGCAATATATCTTAGTTAGATTACCGCCTCCATGTTTCTCCCTCTTTCCTCCTCCCCCATTCTTAGAGAACAATTTCAACAGGTTTCATCTTCTATTTGTGTGTGGGGGTGGGGGGGTGGTACTGGGGGTTGAATTCAGGTCCTACAAACTACATCTTGAGCCACTCAACCAGCCCTTTTTTGTGAAGGGTTTTTTCAAAATTGGGTCTCGTGAACTATTTCCCCAGGCTGGCTTTGAACCACAATCCTGATCTCTGCCTCCTGAGTAGCTAGAATTACAGGCATGACCCACCGGTGCCTGCTCATTCTTCTATTTTCATAGTTCTTTTGTTTTTATTTTGTTTTTGAGACAGGATCTCACTGCTACCTTTACCTGGGCTGGCCTTAAACTTGAGATCCTTACGCCTCCTCTTCCTGAGTAGGTGAGATTACAGACAAGCACTACCACACTCAGCTTATTTTTCTTGCTCTACTGAATCTCTCCTCTGCCTTCCTCAGAGGCCTGCCTACCTGGGCACCCCACACAGGAACCCTTTTCTACCTCAGTCTTCCTCATAGCAGGTGTGTGTACTCCTTAACAGATACTTACTGAGCTAAGCGTAGTTCCATGTAATGTGAATAAGACAGACATGGTTTCTGCTGTTAGGAGGCAACTGAGAAACACAAGTAGTAATAGCAAACATGTGCACTGTGCTTTCTCTCTTCCAGGCACTGTTCTACATGTCTATAAATTCCTCCTATAAATTAACATTCAGTCCTTACCACACATGAGGTAAGGACTATTCTATTCTGCATCTATTCTTTGATAGATGCAGAAATCAAGTCTGGGTGTTCTGTAATTAGGAACTTCTTTACTTGCTACCAGGATTACCGATACGCTTTTTGACTTTTAGAAACTCTACTCTCTTCCTCCACAGATGGATGAAAACGTCTTCAAGTACACATAGATGTACACACTTCTGGGTATGCAAAGAAAAATAAAGATGCCTTTGACGAGAAATGCCTCTTCTGGATAGACCCTTCATAATGAGAAAGAAGCTTCCTGTGCAGTAGGGTCATTTCCTGAGAAAGTCCAACCCACATCCTTGTAGATTTTATAACGAACATTTGCTTAAAGTCTCTTCTACGGTCTTGTCTCTTCCGTCCTCTTCTTGACCATTTGCTGTTGCATAGTTATTAGGTGTGCATTTTCTAAGATGAAATACTGGAAAATAAATAAATCAGCTACTTCTCAATTCAAAGTGCTTCTTTGGGTATGTTACATAATTTTACATGGTGCGTGGAGAATTTAACTCATTGTGAATTATTGCTTCATCTAATACTGTGGTTCTTACATGCTTCACACACTTTACACTTTTTATTTTGTATGTTTCTGTATTTCCTTCTCATCTGGCTTTTCCTACTGGATTATGTTATTTTTCTTTTGTTTTCTCCAGAGGTTTGGATGATATGTGTGTCCCATTTATAATTCTGCCATTTTAAATAGAAAACATAAAGAGTATTTCCAGAATTATCAGAGCATGATCTGATATTTCAGTGCCTTTTCTATTTAGTCCACCCTTACTCCACATAATTTTTACTACCTGCGCACTTATCCTGTTAATGATTTTCTTTCACGCGTAAAGAGTGACTTAATTCCAAGTTATTGAATCTTTTGCTCTGTACAATACATTGTTGTCATTTTTAAATTGTACATACTTTTTCAATGACTGAGATCAGTGGTGAAAGGCAAATATATGCTACATTTAATAATGCCTTTCCATTTTCTTGCAGCATCTCAACCCCTTTGCAAAGCAGAGCATTTTACAGAGAAGTAACTAACCGTATTGAACGCTTCCTCATCAAATGTCTATTTGAGCAGTACTGCAACTCGCAATTTACATTTTGGAGACCTCAAGACTTCGATTTTCTTTTCTTTTTCAGTAAAAAGGTTTTTTTCAAATAGCTTATTTCAGGAAAATAAACTAGGTGCTATATTTTAAGTCTGGGCATCTTATTAAATTTTTTTATGAACTACTTAACTTTATATGAATGACATTTTAAAACATTTTCAGTATTTTGCTTTGAGGTAACATTTACATAAAATAATTTGAAACCCTTTTAAGTGGATGAGTTTTAACAAAAGTCAAAGCATCACCAACATCACAACTACAATGTTATCTCAAAGGTTTGCAGTCAATCCTATCCCTTCTTTTGACCCCAATCAACCTACTTTAGTTTATTTCTGTCACTATAGATTAGTTTTACCTGTTCAGGAAAAACATAGCAAGATGTAAGCTCTTATGCCTGGCATCTTTTATTCTGTCTGCTTTTGAGATTGGCTATTTTTCTATGAATTAGGAGTTTGTTCCTATGGTTTGTTGGGTAGTAGTCTATTGGATAGATGAACCCAAAAAATTTTTTTAAGCCAGTCACTTGTTGATAAGCACTTAGGTGGCTTCCAGGTTGGGACAATAATAAGTAAAGTAAGTGAACATTCATGTACAAGGCTCTGTGGACATATGTTTTCATCTGGGAGTAGATGAAGAGTAGAGTTACTCAGTTATATGGTAACTGAATGTTTAACTTCACAAGAAACTTGCAAATTGTTTTCCAAAATGGTTCTACCATACTGCATTGCTACCAGCAGCTCATAGGCTTTCTGCCTGTCCTACCTGTGCAGGAGTAGTAGCTTTGGTTTTGGTTTTCAATTGTTTATTAGCCATTCTACTAATTATGTAAAAGAATCTCATTAAGATTCAACTTGTATAGATTGTTTGTGTTAAATAACTTTCATATTTATTATTCATACCAGTATTTTATTTTGTGAAATATCTATTTAAATCATTTACTCATTGTTATTGGGCTCTTTGGTTTTTATGTTAGGGGGTTCTTTATATATTATAAATGTAAATATTTTGTCAAATATATAGATTACATATTATTTTCAGTTAGTCTTTGGTTTTCTTTTTTGCTTTTTTAATGGATTATTTTACAGAACATAATCTTTAATTCTGATGAAATCCAAGATATCAAATTTCTCATCTATAGCTAGTGGTTTTTGTTGTAAAAAATTTTATTAAAAAATTATTATAAAGTATAATTATATTATATAATTATATTTTTAAAAATACTTATTGTCTCAACCTGGAAAGCCACCTAAGTGCTTATCAACAGGTGACTTGTTTAAAATTTTATTTTTTGGTTCATCTATCCAATAAAATACTACTAAGCAAACCCTAGGAACAAACTCCTAATTCATAGAACAAATAGCCAGTCTCAAAGGAGGCATAATAACAGATGCCAGTGTACCCCCCAAACTAGGAAAACTGTCTTTTAAGTACATAAATTCACTCCCTTGGGCCTCACGTTTGATTTTTTTTAGATATCTTTTTTGTTTTGTTTTGCTGAGTCAGGGTTTTGTTATGCGATGCAGTTTCATCTTAAAAAAACTTCTATGTAGCTCACGCTTGCCTCACACTTGCAGTTCTCCTGCCTCAGCCTTCAAGTGTGAGGAATACAGCTGTGAACCACCATTCCCAGCAAGCCTTTTGCAATTCTTTCAAACTATCAAAGTAATATTTATCAAATATTTATCTAATTCACCACACATTTATAAACAAATTATCTTACATAAACTCAAAACAATTGAAATGAATTGTTGTCTTCATTTTGGATAAAAAATGTGAAAGATAGCTTAAATAAGCTAAAGTCCAGATTTCAAAACAAGTAGTCTTTTTCCAAGGCCATCTTATGTGACCCCATATTTCATTTTATCCAATAAGATATCCAGTGCATTGCTTTTTTAAAATTGATCTTTTGTCTTCATCCAAGTTTGTCTATCTTTATATCTGCACCTGACTTATAGTTCTTTAAACCCACTGAAAACTTCATGAAATTTTCTTTTTTATTCCATAGTGTACTTTTTAGGGCTAGTTTATTTTCCTTCACTAATTCTTTACCACTCTTTCCTCCATTCATGTCATTAGAAACCAGATTTCAAATAATTATTGCATTTCCTTGTTCAAGCAAGCTAAAATAAATTCAAATTTAATTTCTCAATACAAAGCACATAATGTCCTTGTAAGATTTTTATATACCTCATAAACATTGTATTAATCTATTTTGTGGTACTGTAACAGAAAACCTGATGCTGGATAATTTATAAGTAAAAGAGGTTTATTTGGCTTATAATTTTGGAGGGAAAAAGTCCAAAATTAGGCTGCCTCATCTACTTGGCTTTCATTACCTGCTCCCCTGGCTATTTCACAGCATGGAAAAGAAGCAGAAAAGTGTTAAAAAAAAAAAAAAAACTTGGGTCATCAGAAAAGAATTTAAGGATAGACACAGAGAAGACTTAAATAAGAGTAGGTTTATCAATTTAAAAACAAAGTGAAAGCAAAATATAGGGAAAGTACACCCTTCAGATGGC